TGATTTGTCATGATTGTGTGTCACGCTGGGTGTCATAGATTGAGCTGGAGGTGGAGAGTATGACATCATACTTTTCAGAAATTTGCATTTTGACTGTTCACATGAAAACGCAAGTGTGGCATCTTCTAAAATGTAATTTCCATGTGGATGTGTATTCATAAACACAGGATCTCTGTGGTGCTGCTGTTGTTTGGCGTATTGGTTTTGTACTATTAGTGCTTAGTGTGTTCTTAGTTTACCGTATTCCTTAGTTTATATCTTAGATCTTACTACTGTTTTTCTTTACAATTTATACTTTTCTTGGCTGTAACTGAGACCCTGTGTACACAACTTCGTTCCACCACATGTACCACAAATGAAATTTTGACTTTAACTTGAAACGATAAGTTTCTTAAAACTAAGTAAACAAAAGCTGCTTTTATGAATTTATATTGTAAAACAGTTTTCTTGACACCCTTCATCATTCTTGTGAACAACCTGCTGAAATGAGGTGTTGAGCTGACATGAACTTGAGTAAACGGAAAACACGACCAGGCTGACCTACTTCTTCTGTCATTTTTTAGTCATGGCGGCTCATATTTCTGCCTCTCATATCTCTGCATTAACTATCACCTGTGGGCCTCATGTGCCTAAGTAACCATTGCACTTACTTCAAATGTTTGGGGAGTCTGAAATGTCACGGGTGTTTAAATATATCCACTTTTGTTTAGAACTGATGAAAACCTGTCAAACCCACTTTGTGATGTTTGAAGCAGTCTGTGCAGGCAGTACTGGTTTTACAGAAACTTTTTTTTGTCTTATTTTTCTCAGCTTTTGGCTAACTTAGAGTCCTGAGGCCGTGAAGTCTTTGTGCTGCAGTAATGCTGGGTTCAGCACGCTGCCTGTGTCCACACTGCTGCCTCAGCACTAATAAGGCAATAGAGTGATAGAGGGAGCGCCAGTTGTCTGCTTTCAACATCCCTACTCAACCGTACCCTCATCTAACCCCCCACAGAGAGAGACACCATTAGCAAATCTATCGGGGATCCCATATTAGGAAAAACATCAAGGAGTCTAATTGTGGTTCTGAACTGGGACTCGCTGGCTGCGTGAAGTTTTGTATCCACTCTAATGAGTTGTGGTGTTGCCTTCAGCGGCGTTATCGCCCCTCATTCATGTCCCTGTCCTGAAAGAGCTCCAACTTCATGTTATGTTACTCATTAGACTTTTCAGAGGCCACATGTTTTAGAAGGTAATATTACTTCATCACATTTTAGGTTTTACTTTTCCTCTTTGGTTAAATAGTCTGTTGAAGTTAGCTGAAGAAACCGATTTTAACCCAAACGACAAAAAAAAAAAAAAAGATTATGTGCATGAACTTCATGACAGCATTGAAGAGAGAATAATTTCAAAAATACAGTTTATTTATTGTTTTCTTTTTATTTAAGTAACACTCGTGTTATCTCAGTTTGCCAGATTGCTCATGACTTTTGTTTTCCAGAACTGAGCTTTATTTATGTGACGCTGCTGCAGTGTCAATCTACGTGGTTGTATTTATATGACTTACTGCTCACGTGTTGTCCACATGTCAGCATGACATTTGTAATGATGTCACATGAAGTGCATTTAATGCTCTAAACACGTAACATATGGTCATTTCCTTGTGTGGCAGCATAAAAAGAAAACTTGACGGGCGTACTGGCTCTGTGTAACTGGAGGAGTTGGCTGGTCCTGAATGTAGCGCTAAAAATAACCTGACAGCTGTGTGTTTAGAGCCAAACTAAGAAACTGAAACTTCACCTCATAAAAAGATGGGCGGGACACCAAAACATTCAGAGAGATATAAATATTGGACCCTGAAAATATACAATAGAAGCAAGTTTTGCATGTTTTTAGGACTACTGAATGAGTTTTCAGTTCTAGGTTTTTGTTTGTGTGAAATTATTAAAGTATTTTACATTAAATTCTGAGAAAGGACAAAATGGGCATATTATTTGTCACACAACACATTTAAAATTATTATTTTAGTTTTACATGAGCGTAACAGTCAGGAGTAATTTGAGATGATTAGGAAACAACTGGTTAGTACTGAATGTAAAGTCAATTAAAGATTAGATATACTGTATGTGACACCTAAGGGGAATGGTGGCGCAGAGGTTAGAGAAGGTGGGCCTGTGATCGGAAGATCGCTGGTTCAACTTCTGGACCGACAATGTCAGAATGTGGGTTGGAAAGGTGAAGCACATCTGCCTCCACCCTCATTTGCCCCACTCTGGGCCCTTAAGCTATGCCTTTAACTACAAAGTATATATATATATATATATATATATATATATATATGAGCTGCTCGACGTAATGTTTTTATGCTATTAGTGCTTAGTGTATTTTAGTTGATGTTTTTCTTAATTCATATCTTAGATGTCATTATTGTTTTTCTTTTATATTTTATTGTTGGTGTAACGGGACCCCGTGTACATAATTTCGCTCCACCACATGCACCACGTGGTACGAACGACAATAAAGAATCTCTGACTCTGATTAACTTTCTTGTCACTAAAAACACTTGAACCCTTAATCCCTGCAATGCTAGGCCAACAAAACCAACAGAACCCATATGAAAACTGTGATTTATATTTCCTACTTGATATTAAATGCATTAAGCTTAACATTCATGCAGTCTTGTTGAAAATACAAACATGTTTAGCTCATCCAATTCCCCATAACCCTGTTTTTACTGCTACAATACAGCGTAACAATCATTCACAGTAAATATTTACAATAAACTACAAACACTTAAAACTGACCGCTTCACAGAGAACATCATAACGATTTTGTGGGGTGGGGGATCAAAAGTTAAACAGAGACACACTCCTCCTATAGGCTTGGTCAAACAAATAACCCTCTTTTAGTGTAAATATTGTTTAATTCTATGGGGGTGGTGCAAAGTTTAGAGAAGGCGAGCCCATGAGGTCACAGCTCCCCGGACCGACAACATGAAAATGTGGGTGGGAAAAGTGAAACACCCACATCTGCCTCCACCCTCGTTTGCCCCACTCTGGGTCTTTGAGCAAGGACCTTAACCCCCACCATCTGCTACTCTGGGCACCCTATGGCAGCTCTGCTCCACACAGACGGCTGTGGTAGCTCGGTGGCCTGTGGCTGTGTCAGAAAGAGCATCCAGCGTAAAAAACATTGTCAAGTTGTCCTGCGAGTTAGTTTGCTGTGGCAACCCCTGAGGAAGGGAGCAGCCAAAAGAAGAAAAAAATGGTTTAATTCCATGAAACAGCAAATCAAATCGAGACAGACGCTAAAACGGGCTGTACACGCTCTCAGCATAACATCTGTCTCGTTTTCTCCCAGTATTCCCGCACTTCTAGATCTAAGTTGTTTCCCTGTTGACCTGGTCGCTGTTTAAAGAGTCATAAGGCTCGTCGTCTACACGTTTCCCTCAGAACATTAGAATATTGTGAAGAGGTTTAATACTGGAAACTCACAGTGTCACACCATAACTCCCAAACACGCTAACTCAACTACAAATGTCTCATTCCTCAAGTCGAGCCACTCCTGAACCAGAGACGTCAGAAGTGTCTTACCTGACTGAGGAGAACAAGAACTGGACTGTTACTCAGTGGTCCAATGTCCTCTTTTCAGATTAAACTAAATTCTGCATGTAATTTAAAAATCAAGGTTGCAGAGTCTGTAGGAAGAGTAGAGATGCCCTGAATCCAGGTTGCGTGAAGTCAAGGACTTGGCTCCTGCCCACACTGCCAAAGGTACCAAAAAGTGGTCATGTAATAATCTAATTTTCTGAGACACTGAATTTTTTTTTTCATTATTTGTACTCCATAATCCTCGAAATTACAAGAAATAAAGGGTTTAAATATTTCATTATGTGTAATAAATCTATACAATATGAGTTTCACTTTCTGAAACGACAAAAAAGGAACCTTTTCACAATATCCTAATTTTTTGAGATGTTTGTATTTTTTTTAAGAGCACCATTCTCCAACTGCTTCCCTTGACATGACAGCTGTCAATCATCTGGGACACGCCCCAAAACTAGCAATACATATTCTGGTTGGTCAGCTCCTGGACCATCAACCTGTGACCTCAAGTGGATCATTTTTTAGTTTGAATCAATCAGTGGCCACAAACACATCTAAAGTGATTAACACCTGACACAACACAACGTTTTCCAGCTCATCACATGATGGCCCCTCAACGCTGAAGGCCCCTTGGCTTCAGTCCAGGTAAGTCCGAGCATTACGGCGGCCCAGCACCAAGAAGGGAAAATACTGATAGATGGATGTTGTAGCTTTTTGTTTGTCCAAAGTGCCACACCTGTGTCTGTGGGTGTCTGAGGCAAGTGTCATTAAGCAAATCTGTCCAAACGGACCTGCTGCTGCTAAACCACATTTTCTTGTTTTCTGTTAGTCTTTGTTTCACCCAAAGTAGATGTTTTGTGTACGTTAACTTGGAATCTTTCAAGGCATGATCCGTAACAGAACTGGACTGACTTCTGAAGTCATCTGACTGGTAGTGTGACATATTTCCCAGTCATTTGTTGAGTAAACGTAATTGCTGTCCAACTCAGTAAGCTGTTTTCATCAGCGTGAGAAGAAGAAGAAGAAAGAAAAAAAAAAGGTTGTTTTCACAGAATCTGTCCTGTTTATCTTTCTATCTGATCTGCTCAAAACCAAACCAAACTGGTCCTTTCGCCTCAACACCAAAATTTTTGCCCACTGTGTCCAGCACTTTGCACGAAAGCGGTCTCTTCTCTGTCCTTGTGAGAATGATTGGTCAGTACACACCCTCCCAGCTGCCCTCCCCTGAATCCCTGTCTCCCTCTTCCTACTTAAATACTTTTAGCATAAAGAGAGAGAGAGGGAGGGAGGGAGAGGGGGATGGGAGATCCATGGGGGAGGGGAGCTGACTACTCTGTTGTCACTGGTCAGAGAGAAAGGGAGAGAAGGGGAGAGAGAGAGAGAGAGGGAAAGAGCAGAGTTGTGTGTCCCATATGTGGAAAAAAGGCATAGCAGTGCACACACACAGGTCCGCTCTGCTCGGGGGATTATCCTAGTGCTTTCAGATCTGATGGAGGACATGCAGGCATGAACAGGTAAGGCCGCTCGTCTTCTCTGCATCTATGGAGCTGCTGTCATAGCCAGCTGCTCTCCCTGCTGTTTGACTTGCTGAAGTTGAAGAACTGAGCAGCTCTCTCCCTTTAGCCCACTGACCATGAGACGCTTTATCCCCCCCACACACCCCCTCCTACCCTGCAAACACAATCTTCCTCCTGCAAAAGCTCTGTTTGTTTTAAGTGTAAACTGTGGTTTGCTGCTGTAGAGCAGGTTGTTATTCTGGGCTGAGTGTTAAAAGTTGGCTGTCAGTTGAAGCAGAGGGGGCTGCAGCCCGCTTGTGAAGCCTGTTACAGCCGGGGGTCATTGCATAATATCTCCTTCAGGTGAATGGATCATGAGTGAATGTAAATTTGGAACTGGACTCTGTTACCATAACAGTATTGCTGTATTAAACAATATGCGGCTGTGTGTTTCTACATTAGAATAAATACAGTTCACGTTACTGGAATTTTTATTTTTTTTTAAAGATTAGTGGACAGTTTTAATGCTTTGACGGTTTGCTTTATATACACCTTTATTAAAAAATACAAGTGGTGCAGTATTTTACATAAGAATCAAACTAACACAAGTGGGCAATCATGTTGTTTTTAATCTCTGCGTGAATAAAATGAGACTATTCCAAAGTCAAACTATATTCTGACTACATGATCTTTGAAAATAGTTGTGGGAATAATTTGTTTTCAAAGTGTATATATTCAGTCTGTAATAGGCTGAATTAGTGCATTATGCAACATTTTGCAGTTAACAGAAACATCTTTTGTTTGCATTTTGCTCATAAAGCTCCAAAAGTATTTGGTGTCCTGAGAATGCAGTCTTTATTGCCTCAGCGCACAGAGCAATGGTATGCACGAGTCTTTTTGTGAGGCAGATTTAGAAAAACCCTCTTTAGAGGCTGGACACAGCTTCACAATCAGCTTAATGCCTGCCTGTAATGAATGCCCTTGTGTGTGTTTGAATTTGGCCGACTGTGTGCACTGAATTCAGTTTTTGTTACACCGATCGGGCTCAGGTGTAACTCTATCACACTCTGGTTCACTTCTGCTATGTGTGTTTGTGCATGTGTGTTACTGTGTGAGCATGCCTGAAAGGCTTGTGAGAATTTGTCCAAACATTGTGCAGCAGCCAGTAGCTGCCTCACCTCTTTTTCTTTATCTCTCTTTCCCCCTCTCAGGGTTGTTCTGTTGTCAGTGCAAGCTCATGTCAGTGATGGACTACAGCCGGACCTGCGCTAACCTTAGCTGGCATTCATGAAACAGCTTTCCTCCTCACCGAGACCAGCTCCACAGAATGCTGAGTCCTATTGTCCCTTATAGTGAGTAGGACACTCTTTTTTTTATACTCTCTCTCTCTCTCTCTCTCTCTCTCTCTCTCTTTCTGCCCTACACACCAGAGAGCTTCACTTGGCGTAGTTGGACTTTGCCTGAATCAATGAACCCCTGCTGCAAAAATAAGCAGGAGTGGACTCCGTGTTGTAAAGTTTGCAAACAGAACGAATGTAACAACAACAGAAAGTCAGCTTCGGTGCCAAAAACTGGACTTCTCCTTGACGTGCTCTGTGGAAATGCTAAACCCTGAGCTCTGGCCTTGTTTGAATGTTTTATCAGCAGGCGGTGGAAACAGCTGTGGGACAGAAGAGGGATGATGGTTTAAGCTGCAAAAACTCCTTAGCTAGGCAAATATGCTTTTACTAGTACAGCAGCGCAGAGTTTACACACACATGCTGCCTCCCTCCCCGTTTCTTTCTATAATGCTGACTTAATAACTGACATGTCTAGTGTTCGCCTCCCCTATGTGTGCACCCTCACACCAGGTTTCATTAGAGTCCAGTGCTGTGGCTCTCCAAAACAGCATTGTTTGGCGGCCAGCATGAGGCTCCCTCCGTGGCCTCGTCCTCAAGAGCCCCCTTTTTTCTCAGCTCCTTAACTCGCCTCAAAGGGCCATTATTGTTGTGACAGTCACAAGAATAGTGGGAGAAATCAAAAGAAATGGTCGATTTAAAAAGCATTACTCCAAAAATGATAAAAGGAACCAAACTTTGATTCCGTTAGCGTTTCAAAACGAGCTGCGGACGCACTGTAACGAGGTGTGTGAATCCGAGCGTGAGCAAATGTTTGACAGTTCCTATCAGTGCTTGTTTGCTTTTCTGTAAAATTCACCCTTGAGAGAGCCGAATATGGAGCCGACCTCTTGTGCTGTTATGAAACATAACCTCTCAGTAAGCTGATTTAATACCAGCTCTCCTAAATGTTTTGTCTGTTAAAGCAAATGTATTAGTCTGAGTTATTCAGATAGCGTGACTGCTCATCGTCCCATCAGCGCCCTGTACCCTGCGGGTCCACACGGACTGAGTAAATGCAGGGCTGCTGGAGTGGACAGCGCGTCTAAGAATGTCACAAACCGATGGTGGAATAGTTAGCATGCCTTCAGAAACGACTCACTGCAGGGTAACAAGAATCTTACTGCGTGCAAGTCGTTGCGGGGGATTTTCTTTCGTGATGATTATTGTTGGTCTTTAGTGTTCAACAGCTTGTTGCTTTTTATATTTGCCACCCTCCTGGTGTGTATTTATAGACAGAAGGATCATATGAGCACGCACAGCAGTGTTAGGTAGTCACTGTTTACTATCAGAGCAGTGACACATAAACTCACCCTTCAGCTTGTTGGTGACACTGCAGCTCAGTGTCTTTTGGTTAAAGACTGTAGTCATGATCCTGCCGAGTGCACCTGCGAAGGACTTTTCTGGATATGCGAAGACTCTCACCTCTGTGCTGGAATCCCCTTTGTGGGAATGTGGAGTATACCTGCTTCCTTGTGCTACTCCTGACTCCTGCTGCTGTCATTTCTATTCCTGCACATGATAAACATGCTTATTGTTTTTGTTTTTAAAATCGGGAATGTTCTTGAGTTTCAAATCTCAGTGAGTGTGTCACTCCTGGTCGTCATCGCTGGTCGGGCCAGGATGCTTCAAGCTGGGGTGAATCAGCTATGACCAGACTTGAGGAGAAACCTGAGAGAGATTCCAGGGGCTATAGATACTCCTGGAGGGATTTGGTGCAAAAATCTGTAATCTGCACTTCAAACACACTCTTAAATCAGTCCCAGGCCGCCAAGCCAGGAGTGCCCTAACTCTTGTTGCTGGGGGCCCCCGCTGGTGAAGCAATACCTTTTCTTTTAAAACTGCACACATGGTTACAGACACACACAGAGAATGACTACACACAAGAGTCCAGTCTGGCAGTTTTTATAGCTCTCCTCTGATTGACCCCACTCCTTTCTCTCTCTGGTTCTGTTTTTATGTTTTTTTTTTCAGAGTGTCTTTGTGAATGACTCTGAGGGTAAAAAAAGAAAATGTAGATCTCAACCCGTGGCCCCTGAAGGAACTGGCCGGAGGGCCGTGCCAGCATCTACCCCTGACATGAGTGTTGCTGTGGAGGGTCCTGTGAGATCTTTAAGTAAACACACAGCCTTCCACACTGTGTGTGAATAAGAGCAAGGATCATTAGTGTGGATGTGAATGAGCTCTAATTAGCCTCTAGTGTGTGTGTGTGTGTGTGTGTGTGTGTGTGTGTGTGTGTGTGTGTG